AGTAAACAAAATACTTCATCACGTTTGAACAAATTTTATGGAGACAGATCTGAGTCCTGCGGGATAAGTACATTTAGCTATGATACTCAACATCGTTAGTACAAGATTAATTTTGACACATCAGTTGTAGTAGTAGTAATAGCAAAATGAGCAGAAGCTGTTTTAAATGATAATTACAGTTATAGTCCAATAGGTAATAATGATAGCAGGACTACTTGTCCTCATCCTCCTCCTCCTACTACTATTGCTTCTACTACCAATATTACTACATATACTACATATACTACTACTACTACTACTGCTGCTGCTACTACTACTACTATTACTACTGCTACTACTATTACCACTACTACTACTACTACTTTAACTAAATTTCTCCATTTCACCTCCCCAAACTCTTCCTCCCCCTTCTCCTACTACTGTCTTACAGTAGTACAAATAGTATAAATAGTATAAATACTATTTTAGTAATTGTAATAGAAGTGACAGAATACAAAGTAGTAGTAGCAGAGTCATAGACATAATACTCGTAGTTGTAGTAGTAGTGGTGGTGGTAGCAGTTATCGTAGTAACAGTGGTAATAATTAACAGTAGAACAAATAAAAGCAGTAGTAGAAGTAGTAGTAGTAGTAGTAGTAGTAGTAGTAGTAATAGTAGTAGTAATAGTAGTAAAATTAGTATTAGTAGTAAAAGGATATAAGTATTTGTTATCATAATAATAGTAGTAGCAGTAGTAGTAGTAGTAGTAGTAGTTGTTGTTGTTGTTGCTGTAGCTGTAGTAGTAGTAGTAGTAGGAGTGGTACTTGTAGTACATGTTGGAAGAGTAAAAACAATAGCATCATCAGGCCTACTTACAGCAATTTGAATATAATATTAGGTTTAATATTCAAACAGGTGCCATATCTGTAAAGTTAAAGGTATAGTAAACCACGTGGAAGTAAAGGTGAGTTAGAGATTGCAATGACGTTGCATTGATGTCGAACTGAGGCAATAAGATATCACATGTGGGTAAAGTATATCCATGTATATTAACCGTTTTAGGATTGTATTTAGAATAATGGTAAATGCCAAATATTTAAAAATTAAATTTTTGAAACTGAGTATAATTTTAATGGTGGTTGCTGATCTAAAACGGTAAACGTGTTGTTATAGGGCAGTTGTGGTCGTCGTTTAAATAGTAGTAGTGCGTCCATACATGTTATGTGTACGGCAGCAGTAAAAGTAGTAGCTGTAGTACACGTAGAAGGATGATAGTGGTACTATATACATATCAAGAACATCAACAGTAGTAGCATAGTAGCTGAAGTAGTAGTGGTAGTAGAAGTAGTAGTCGTGATAGAATTAGTGGTAGTAATAGTGGTAATTGAATTGTGATGGTTGTGGTATAGTATATATGGTAATAGTAATAGTAGCAGCACCAGCAGCAGTAGTAGAAGTAGTAGTATTAGTACATGTAGTGGTGGTAGAAGTAGTAATAATAGCAGGAGCAGTAGTCGGAGCGATAGTAGTAGTCATGGTTGTAGTAGTAGTTTTTGTGATTTTGTTCACGTATTAGTATTTATTAATTAGAACGATAATGGTAGTACTAAAGTAAATTCTGAACAGTTGAGAAGTATATATAATCAGGTAGGATTGTCAAGTACAGGATACTAAAGTCTGAGACTAAATTATAGAGTTAAGAAAAAGTTTAGAAAACTAGTTAAATAAGGCTGCATAGTTCTCATGATAAGTGATATTAAAACCAAAGTAGATGCGAATATTGATTAAATCCTTTTGCAAATATAAGATTCTAAATTAGAATTAATTTATTACCGAGTGAGGTTCATCGTTTTTTAGTGTTATCAAATACACTGAACCATTCTTCTTTTCCTTCTAATATTGGATCTATTTTAACAACAATAGGAGAGGTGTCATGGTTAAAGATATGTAAACATAATAACATCTTTTTTTTCTTTGGCACTTCGGCATTGAATTTGTGTAAAGATTAATTACATGCTTTGATACCATTTTATTTTGGAACAGGGGAGGGGTATTATCGTTCAAAATGTTTCCTATGTACAGATGTATATGATAATCAATATTTGTCTCTTGCAATCATATTGTTCTTTACGCTAATAAATTTACACACCATTCCTCATTTAAGAGTCACGCGATGGCGTGAATACGCTTAACCTGTTTTGATTAAAATATAATTTGTTCGTTAATTTGAACTAAAGCTTGCTAAAGTAAGTCACACTGTCAAACATATCACCGTCTAACTACACTATTCATAATCATAATAACTATTGATTATGATCAAACAAAAAATGGAATACCACTGATTTTTCAGGGGGACGTTCAAGAAGTGCCTAGGAAATAGCACCATTCTCTTGACTATTTTACAGTTTAGTCTGAAATTCAAACTACACAAAAAAGTACTTGAATAAAAATGTATACTAAGGAAGATAATTACTGATGAACTTTGACACCAATACCAATTCCCATTTGCTAATTAGCATAATCTTTACAAAAACAATATTTTTATACCCAACAATACTTTTTAAAGGCTCTACATTTTAAATCATAGTAGAAACTTACTATTCATTACATCTTTTGTGGGACTTCTCCCTTGGTAGTCTTTATATTTCGTTTATTACTTTGTAAGCTAATTGTGCATTTATGGTACAAATACATCATTTAAACGCAAATCTAGTCATTTAAACATATGTCCACAGAAACAATGTGTCAAAATTGGGTTTCTAGTATAGTTATAATGAATTATCGGCGAATTAGCGATTTTGCATTAATCATGTTAATAAGTATTCCATGAGGTAACATTTCACAAATTGTTATCGCTATTTTAATGTGACGTTTCTCATATATAATTTGTTTTCAAACTTCGTTGTAGAAGAGCCAAAATGGGTGTAAAATGCACTACCCTAAGTTAAGGATTCATACTGCTAAAAGAAAGGAACGTTACACAATATAAGACCATTGTTGCATAAGGCGCTTTAAACAGCCTACTCTCACAAATATGTTCGTAAAGACTTTCGAAAAATCAATTAAAAGGTGATTTTCAATATCCTCTTGTGTATCCCGTAGAAACCGTAATCGGCTTACGTTGAATCAATTTGGAGAAGTACTAATTATCAACGTTACTTCATCAGTCACGTGATTCGTGTTCGGATAGCTTAATACCTCAATTGAATGTTCAAACGTTTCAATTTAGCTGTTAATATTGGAAATTCTTGCAACCGTGTTATGTAGATACATGTAAGTACTAATTAATCCAACACCAAAGAAATAACGGACTTAATTGTCCCATTTATCTTTACTCGTAGGTACGGTAACTGTTCTTAAAAATGTATTTTTACCAACAATCAGTTCACTCGATTGCATAACATGCCTGGCTGGCTCGACAATCGGAATAGAAAAAGGAAATCTTCTCAGACGAGTCTTGGATTTCTCAAAGAACGGACCATGTAAAATATGGTGAACCACTTAATGTATATCCATCTGCTTGACTTCATAAAGTTGCTAAAAGACGTTGTGTACACGAATCTCTGTTCTTCAAAATACTGCGAGCATCATATAATATATTACATTTGGTCACCCAGTTAATCATGTGTCATCAAGAAAAGTATCTACATGATATAAAAGTGTAAAGGCTAGATCTTCTTTCTAATATACGCTCCAATGAAGTTCGTAGCCCTTTTAAAAATTGCCTGGAACTCTCAAATACAGAGAAAAAGTTGATGATAAAGCGAAATTGTAATCCATGTTCATGATATTTACAAACCATCACAACCTATTTAAAAAAAAACTAAAGATTATTTATGTGGTTCTATCAGCATGATCACTCGATATATAACACACGAAACAACTGCGGTAGAAATCATCCTAATTTCGCAGAGAAGAACAAGCAAATCATGTTTAGAACACACGCCATCATCCCAAAATAGACGAATAGTAGTTGGAGAACGATAGACTTTTTTGTTGTAAGAAAGAAGAACCTTATGAATGTTGTTCGGAATCATCCGTGTGAAGTATATATATATATATATTTCCGAGTGCAAGTTCTTTATTTTTTAGATACCATTTGATGAGCACTAACTCAAGATTTTGATTGGTACATATGGCATAACACATAGTCTATTAAAATACGATTATTCATTTATTTTTCGTTTATGAAAATTAGTTTTTCCATATACTTCCCTTTTTTCATTGCATCATCTAAATGTCTAATGAAACTCCCCTAGGGAAAATTTAGAATTCTTTAAAACCACCGATAAGGTCAAAGCTTCGCAAAAATTCTAACGAGCAAAATGGGAAAATACGTTAGCAGATTTTTTTAAATTTTTTATTTTAGGTGCCTTGGGATTTAAAACTTGAAAGTGAGGCACAATAATACAATTAGGGGCACTTTCTTTGTGAACATAAAGTATTCCACATTGGATTGTGGAATGGGGCGTGGCCCTATTCTGCCCTTTGGGTGTGCCTCCTCTTAATCCGCTCTCAACATACTAAATTACAAGAACACTTAAGTACAGACTTAAGTACCGATCTCTTGGAGATGTAATGGCTAATATTACAAATGAATAAATTATTGTCTACAATATGAAATAACGTTCTTTTTCAATTTGTTATAATCATAAAACAAGAAACGAAGCACGAGGATAACCACAACGTACACTTTAGGAAGATAAGATCATCAAAGCAAACCAGTCATTGTTAAAGAAAGTAATGTACAAAGTCTTTGTCAATCCATTTTCATTGGTGACCATGCTCTGCATGTAATCGTAATATGTATAGGGTTTTAGATTCTTGCTTGCAAGAACATGAATCAAAATAGAGCGTCTTTTACAGATGATTTGCATAAAAATGTATGATCAAAACAACCGGTTTCCTTCCTTTCTTCTTTAAGTATGCTTTCAAGTAAATGCATTTTGTAGCCTTCACATGTTATTCAATTAACTCTCATTTCTCCCTTTCCCTCCCCCCTCTCTCTCTCTCTCTCCCTCACATACACACGCACATACCGTATGAACGCACGCCCCCCCTCATTTCGTATTTCCCCCATAAGCTTAAATTATTCAATAACCACTTCTTATCATTTCACATGCCCATTGTTGATAATGAAATCACCACTAACATCTGTTATGGCCTATCTCGTGTATGCACTCGTTAGGAGCAGAGTCGGATATAACGAAGACCTGTTCTATATATAAACATTCGTCCAAGTCAATTAATGCTCCTTTGAAAAAAATTAGATCACTTTGTCCTTCGATTAATGTTCATCACAAAGTGAATCGTTGTCATCATCAATCACTCTGGTCCTTTACTTTGTTCCATTAGTTCGGATGTAGGTCTAGAAGTTCTCTTTGTGGAAACTAAAGTTAAATTTCTCACAGCTCTTCTTGATGATCTTTGCCAACGTTGGAGAACCACAGAAGAAAACTTGGACCTTGCCTTTCTTCTCTCGAGCGATTTGAGTGAATATCTGTTGGTAGAAGAATAGTTGAAGGTGAGATACGAGTACCTAAAGGTTTGTTTGTTTGTCTCTTTTTTTTTTACTTATTTCAATAAGGTAATAAAACTAATATTTCAGCAAGTCCGTATAAATAAGAAGACAACTTTACAAAAATAACATAGTAATTAGAAATTATTAAATTATTTACAAAGGATAAATACAAACTAAATACAAGATTTTCTTAAACATGGTAAAAAAAAGAAACGTAAATAGGAAGTGAAATATAGAAATTAAAGAAAGAGAATGATATTCAATGCATCCAGAAACTGGTAAGAAAAAGAAAGATTGAAAAAAGGACGAGAAGTAGAAAAGAGAGGAAAAAAGAAGGAAACTAAAGAAGAGTGAAGTAAAATATGTAACAAAAGAATAACGAAGGGAAAACATGAAAGGGGATAGAGCGAGAAAGAAAGTACGACAAAGAGAGAGATATAGAGAGAGATAGAGAGAGAGAGAGGGAGGAAGAGCGAGATGACTGGAGATCAAAATCAATATATAAACCCGGATATCAATAGCCCATAAATAATTGCTACTATCAATCAATCTTTTATTTCCTAGACATTCATTATTCTTTATTACTATCGTCTGTAGAAAAAATAACAACCCGTATTCACCACCAATAAAACTATTTAGATTGTAGCTAATGCTGCTCATATCACTTTAATCACGCTATTTATGTACCGCCTTTTCAATTAGATTCAAACCACTTTGATTGATATGCTTTTGCAAAGCTACAGATAAACGGCGCCTCATAATATCACGCCATTTTAACAGTACAATGTACAGGTGTGTCAATCCGGGTTTTAATTGTTACTGTACTGACCATTCTGACTGCGCCAACGTTGACGACATTCCTACCCAGATAATGTCATTAATCAACTTGTTTTGATTCGTAATTTTGGTATCTAAATATACTTATACTCATTGGCAAAATGTATAGTTCCCATGATTTCTCATTTTCTCAATTTAAGAAATCATTACCATGCTATTTGTTATGCAATGCAGGAGTTTATTGATAAATGTCATCGATATTGTCATGATTGTTAGCAATATATTGATACAAAATTATGGAGCGCAAATGCATACCTTGTTCCAATCTGGTCTTCCTGGCTGAGTCCTGGTCTTAAGTCCAGTGATAAGGTCTCGATGTCCTTTCTTATGCATGATATCCAATGCCATCTGTAGACCAATGCCCTTCATGTCGTTTTTAGCCATTGCTGACGTCATGTACATGTGGAGTTCCAGGAACCGATCAAATGGTTCCTGGGCTTGTTCCATCTCAAGCTGCGTAAGGAGGCTGACGAACCACTCGAATGCGTTCTGGTTTCGATTGATCCAGATGAAATCAACCTGGATATAAGTAATGGTAGAATAAAAAGAAAAGAGTTTAGATGCTGATTGCAGAACGAATATCCGTCATTTCAATTGAGGTCATACCTGCAGACAATTGTATTCAAGGCGATGGTTGAACTGTTCATCTTGCATGCACTTCATCACCAATGACTGTAGTCTTACGTCAGCAAAATAACGCCTCGTGTGCGCAGACATAACAAATTTCATCCAGTAAATGAAGTGTGAATATATTGACACACAATCAATTGATACTTAATTTTGTTAACGAAAATATGATCAAAATAGTGTAAAAATGTTTTATGTGGAGCAGAATTCAGATCTCAACGGTGTAGACAAGCACTCAGTTTGTGTTGAAGTAAGAACTTTTCAACCTTATGCCATGCAACCGCTACGTTTTTTTTTATAGCTATAAGTTCAAGCGTGAAAGCTCCCGGTTCAGAGCGTGGCTCTGACTTTGAAAGGCTGATATTAATAAACTCTGCATACGATATGGGAAAAAACATGAATTGTGGAGATGTGCCTTTCTCTTGAGATCACAACTTACTTTCTTGAGTCTCATCATGTCTGTCGGTATGTTTCCTAGCCATGTATGTTGACAAATCGGGCACGTCTGTCTCCCTACACGATAACGATGCATGATGGACTGAAGGATAGATGCAAACGGTGTTACGCCAATGCCAGCCCCGACAAGTATGGCGTGTTCTGCTTGGAAGATGCCTCTCGTAGCAGTGCCGTATGGCCCATCGATGAATACCTATAGATGGAACATTGACATAATATCGTTATCTTTCACAGTATAGTGATCCTTTGCACGTCTTACAAATTTAAATGTCCGAACAGGCTTTTGTAGTTTTCATTATGTTCCCCCTGGTCATCTAGATCTTCCAAACCCACTGTGGTCATCGCAATCATAAGTTTTAGTAATATGAGTTTATGGCTATTGTTTTCAACACTTGAGGCTCTCGGTTGATAATCTTTAAATTAATAATATACATCACGAAAAAAAAGAACCTGACTTAGCCCCTATGTTGTTGGACTTCATGAAACACAGTTCTTTTATTAAACTAGACTTATTATTTCGATCTCAACTTTTAATCGTGCTTTTGTTTAAATAAATGCCATCGGGCACCAGAGTTAACATGATGAGGGCCTCTCATCCATTGCATAAATGTGGTGGTTACACGCATATCCGAATGAAATGGAAGTCCTTTATACTTGATTTTGATTGGTGGAATGCCAAGTGGCGGTTTTCACTTTGCATTGTTGCTTTTAATTGCACCTTTTTATGCAAGACGCCCTCTTTTGTCATGGCCTCTTTCTTAAAAGTCGCAGTGCTACCAACTACGACTTTTACTAATCCTTTCAACATCTTTGATTTAACTGCTACGCGTTCATCCACGTTCCTGATAGGCTCTTTACAGTAGCGTTGTGATCAGTTGTGACCAGATTGTAAATTTGATTACAATGGAGAAGGGCTCTAATCATCAGGGAATCTTACCTGGATCTTTTCCTCACGTAGTGAACTTCTCCAGGACTTAGCCCCTTTCATCTCAAATGTGGTCTGACACGCAATGGTCCTGTGCTGATGTTGCTGTAATGAGTACACAGAAGATTGAATACTGATTGCATCCTCTGTAGACGACTATATCTATCAATGAATCGCCTCGGAACTTCTTTGAAAGGGAATTGAAGAGGCAATTTTCATATGCATGATCTAAACATAAGTGGCGGGACTCCTACGTTACGTAGGCCAATAAATAGTGTATTAAAGCTGTAACAGAGAGTATACAAGTATTAACCCGTTAACTACTGAATTATCACGTTCCTATAGGCTTTAAAACATGAGCCCCCAGGTTCCAATAGGCAATTGGTTAAGGCTTTTCAAAGTACACGTATTTGGGTTATTGATTGATCACTTGGGTCCTTCGGGCGGTGGGTTGAGGGGGGGGGGGTGGTGTTTTGATTTTAAGGGGAATATGCGTCTTTAGTGAAACGACAACATTTCGAATCATAGGCTCAGTTTCACTTCAGATTATTTTGCATCGGAGAAGGATCTTTCTTAGAATTCATGTAGCATAAACTATCATCATTCTCGCAAAATCAGATATCACTTTTCTGCAAACAGATACATAATATCTCCAAGTCGTTTACTTTGATCTTAAATATTGTGTAATTCTACACCTTAGAAACATTAAAGGCAACATGCCCTAAGTGCTTGATTAGGCTGTCATGTTATTACAAGGAAGGTTTGTCAAAAGTACTAAAGATATCCTTACATTGTCTTCGCTTTCTTCCCTCTCCACAGAGTAGCCCCGCGGCAGACCATGAGGAAGGTTCCCGTTAGCTCCCCGGTGGTTGAGCGTGGGTTTCACCACATCGGCTTCAGCTGCATCACATTCCATCTCTCTCAGACGGATGAACTCGCCGGCATGGTTCGTCTCCTCCACCTCCTCCGTTTCCATGGCGACGCGGATGTCCGAGGCGCTGCCCAGGAGGAGCTCGGTCTCATCGCGGTTCCTCTTCTGCCGGTCCTCGAAGAATGCGTAGAGTCGGTTTGTCCAGTTACCCGCGGACCGAATGTGCATGGATATTGTTCCTGGAATAATAGTTAAAAATAAATAGTTAAAAAGTTAAAAGAGACTTCACATTTCGCACAAAGGAAAGGAGATCACGCTGGATAGTGGAAAAGATTATTATGTGCCGACTGTTCTGACAATCACTTACACTGAAAGCGTGATTGATACTCAGCAGACAATGTTAAAAAATATAGTTAAAAACAAAAGCCAGTATCTGGTCCCATCTCCATAGTCTAAAAATCTATTTACTATTTACGATAAATTAAGCAATAATTTAGTGTGGAATCGTAAAGAGAACGAACCTCGTACAGGTTTACACACTTGTTTCATACAGGACGGGGAATAGAAGGATCACATGCATTGTCAAAACATATCCATAAAATCAGGAAAAGGGTTACGATTCTTTCTATTAAAGTTTATACGATGGAAGGACTGATGTCTACCCTGCCTACATGAAAATGTAGCATACCAATGTCAGCATTCATGTAAATACCCTGTATAAATGTTGTCAATAGCCATGATTATAAACATTAATAGGAACATGTTTTGAAATACAGTATTAAGAGTAGATCGCGCTTATAAGTCGTAAATACCAACCTTGACAAGGTTCTTGCTAAATTATTAAATTAAACTATTTCTAGTAACTTTCAGATAAGACCCAATGAGATTGTAATGAAAATGTAATAAACATGACAGATGGCATGTTACAGCAATAGAGACACTCATATTTTAGTCCGACGGGTCATGATTGTCATGACTGCCCTGAGACATATTCATTCCAATTAATAATCTGCTATCCTTCGTTTGAATATTGGAAAGAAAGAATGGCAGATTATAATTAAAAACAGAAGATACCCTTTACATAATTTACCTGGAGTCACTGTGACTGTCTGTTTTGATAATAAAACATTCCTTTACTCTTCACCGACAGTAATAATGTCATCATTTTCATTAATATCATTAAGATCTCATCTCCGAGGTTGAATTGCTCATATTCCTAAGCGAGCAAATCAATTCCTATATCCGAGTTACTAATTAATTACTCACTGTGTTTTTGGAAAAACACAGAAACTCATTTTCTCTGTTCAGATGTTACAGTGACATGTTTTCTTCGGAAATTTTACAGTCAGATAATGAGGGACAGTACTTTTCAGAGAATGAAATAAAACTAATAATGTAATTAGATAGTCATGGTTTCGTATAGAAAGAAAGAGTACATCCGATATCATTATGATGCCTTGTCATTATAAAGGTCACTAAGATAGAAGACCGATTGTGCTTCAGCTCACAATTAAATGTGCCATTCACTGCTCTATTGTCTTCTTTCTAGCCAATTCTACTCGGAAAAGGTTATGATCAACTAATTATATTAGATGCAGTGATTTCTAGCAAATATAATCGTGCTCATGCATTTTTAAAATTCGATTTATCAAGGTCTTCGTGCAACATTGTTGTCTTTCTGTCTTTCTGTCTTTATGTACGTCTCAATGACTGAAAATCAAAGTTCCATGTAAATGTAAAAACTATTTACAAACAAATAAAATCACAATTATGTCTGATAATTCTGAGGATGAATAAAGAGAGAGAGAGAGAGAGAGAGAGAGAGAGAGAAGAGAGGGGAGTAACATATGCAACGAATAATGTTTTGCCACTATGTATTCAAAACCTAGTACTTTTATCTCGTCAATCTATCTTTTAACGAGCCATTTCGTCATTAAACACGTAGCTACACCCAACATGTTCCATCAAAACAGCTTGGAGCCAATGTTCTCCAGCAATTAATGATGATAACATTGATATCCGTCTAGAAATGCCCCAACGTAATGTCAAACTGATATCGATCACACTTCGGGGAATATACATGATGTTTGCTTAGGCCGACACTGAAAACCCGGCTGTAACGAAGATCGTCAGTGCTCCCGAATGCTACGACTTTACAGTTATGTGGTAAGGTGTACTTGGAAAACTGACATCGAGACTCGAAGGGTTAATGAAGGTGGCATGGCAGGTGTCATGCAATACACGATGTGAGCTGGTCGATGACGCGAGTGTTATCGGTAATGAGGGTGATTTGAGGTTGTTGGAGCTATTTGTAAGATTGATTAATAGGTCATACGATCAACATCACAAGCCATACCCATCAATCAGACCCTTTAAAAAAAACATCCAATAATGAATGGACAAAAATAAAGTCGTCGTTTCCTTCTCTTTGGAAAGTAATCCCGAACGAAATGCTTGACTAGGAAGATGAAGAAAAAAAATGAGCCTTACCCTGGAACGATTGGAGTAGAATAATTATTGAGCAGCATTTATGCAAACACGTTTGATTAAAGCTGCGTATGTGAAAGATAATCCATCGCCTCCGGTTAAAATCGTAAGAAGTACACGACATGACGTGTTGACTTTCTCAGCTTTTCCACTCTTTTTTTTTTTTTTACCTCTTCTCCAGCTTACATCATGATGGTGGTGTGTATATAAAAGTGTGTGTGTGGTTTGGTTGGTTGTGTAATGGATGAATTCAGTGAATGATGGCGACACGACCAATGTCATCGTATTGTTGAATTACAGATTCAACAGCTGCGGGCTCGCCAATCCTTTCTCTCCGATCCCTTACCATCCAGGTTGCTCCAATTTCTAGCATCTGATACGCGCTATTAGGGCGGAGTAATTAAGGATTTCGGGCAGACAGTTCGGCCAGGCCTCTAGCCCCGTCAGCTTGATTTCAACGTTGACTTCAGAGCCTCTAGAGTAGAACACTAGAAGAAAAAGTATCCGGTTCGATTGGACCCATTTCATCGCACATTCTGCCAATTTATTGCTCCGATTCATTACAAAATATCATGCACCTGGAACATTAACAGTTAAACGGTTTTTTGAATTCTCTTTAAACAACATGAAACCCTTCGCAAGTGTTATAATAAAAGTTAACCCTATTCTACCTTTTCTTCTTCTTTGAATGCGCTTCCGTGTAAAGTGGTTTTATCCAAAGATTTTTGTAAAAGAACTTCTCATTCTTTATTACCTCCGTGTTGCCGTTAGCTATTTTTTTTCTTCAAAAGTGTTCCCAAACTTGATAGAATCAAACGTATTAAAAATGAAAAAACTTGGGTTTTCTTTCGATCATGTCCATAAAAAGCCAAAGAAGAAATACCAATATTTGGTGTTTACAAATAATTTAAAAAAAAAAAGTTTCTCTATTTGATATATTTGAACGAAAATTTACCAAATATGATTTTTAGAGATATTACATATGTTTGAAAAACAATATTATCCTTTTCCAAAGCTGATTTGAAGTGGTGCTTTAATGAAAAACGTAGAAACTTTGTTCCACTTTTCAATAGAGCCGACATACTAAGAATGAAATCTTCAAATCATTAGCGATGCTGCACTCGAGGGTCAAAAAAATCAAACCATATCTTGTACATCCTAAACATTTTAGATGCACATTTGCACATTTTAACTTGTTGCACCCTTCTAAGTCAGGCTCTGCCAAGGGTGCATGGTTGAACTATTGATGTTCAAAGTTTTAAACTTTTTAGAAGTGGTGCTTATATTCGTTTGAGGTGCAAAAACCACTAAAAAATACGCCATCTTCGATTTAGCATAAAGGAAACTTAAAATTGGACAGCATTTATTTAGCCACGATTCCGCGTTCAAATAATCAGAAACACGCTGTGAAATATATAAGTGATTGTGACAGGCTGATTTTGTAAATTAATATTTATTTTTTAATATAAATACTCCACCAGTGATCTACAGTAGATATGGACGTGTTCACTGAACAGGGACCCGTTTCCCAATGAACTTTTTTCAATGGCAAATGAAAAAAAAAAATCAGTGATAAGTCTGCTTATAACCAATCAGAAGCAAGGATTTCACTACCTTATTACAAAACCTGTTAATCGTCACTGACGACAAGTTTTGTGAAATGGGGCCAAGGTGTTATTGAATCATTGAATAATGTAGGTTAAATATAACATTCCAAAGGTCTCAGCTATCATATTGTTCTCATGGATAATTTGGCCGAGGGTGAATGTCCGGTGGTCCTTGTCCTGGGGGTAGTTGAGAGAGGGAAAAGTGTTGTCCGGGATAGTAGTCAGGAAGAATATTTTTACTAGAGGTTAGGTCTGAGACTGACTGTCCTAGGGTAAAATCCCAGGGTCAGGTAGTTTGGAGGTACTTTTCTGGACAATAAGGGCTACTTGTCCGGATGATAGGTATCCTTTAGAACCTTTTTGTTCAGCACACTTAACCATTTTGCCAGAATAGGGAAAGTGCATGTTAATAATACATTACGGAGGGAAGGGACGAACGTTTTGGGCCAAATAGAAGTTAGTAAAAAGAGAAGCTTCCAGTTATATGTAAATACAGTCAAACCTGCTTTAGTGATTGACCACCTGTCTACAAAGACCACATTTTTTTGTTTCCCTTGAAAATGGTTTCCCATTGAAACATGTACTAAACGAACCTGTCTACAAAGACTACTCTCTGTGTCTTCCTTGGGCGGTCGCTATAGACAGGTTTGACTGCACATGATTTATTCTGCACATGACATTTTCAAGATATCATCCTGGCAATACGTCTCATGGATCAGATCGAATGGATCGTAGTAAACGTTTTTGCTTCTTTACTCCTCTATATACCCAGTCACTGGAAGTAGGCATGGATGGATGGGAGGAAACTTAACGAGGAGGGTTCTTATATTTCGCCTCGGGGCTCAGCCGAGTCAGGCATTTGATTTCCCTTCAACTCTCGAGTGTTATAGCACTTTGGGTATGGTAAACCATGGAATGATAGGCAGACCGACCGGGCGGGCGGGGAGCGAGCTGAGGGAAATTAGTAGGGACTTAATGGTCAAATGAAAGTGGGACCGAGGCCTATTAAGCGTTCTCTCTATTCATATCTTAAAGCTTATCTGTACTAGATTATAGGAGGGATTAGACCACCATGCAAGGTCAGTGGACAGGTGGTTATCTCATCAAATCAGCTCTCAATTAATATAAGTCAAAGAGGATCAAGGGGGATCAATGGTCACCGATTGTGCATTGTTTGATATAGAGAGGGCGCAAGTAGCTATAAGTAGGACAGTGTGGCTTTAAACGTACTTATCTATGTCTCGAATGATAGCTATTGATAATGATATTGATGCGTTCACGAAACTTGAATAATTATCAAAATTATAATACTCCCCCCCCCCCTTTTTTTTGGAATAAATACAGACTAGAAGTTGAGAAAAATAAGACTAAGACAATAGATGTGAATACTACTAAGTGGATGAAGATAATTATTGATTTACGGGAAATGCATTTACACTCTGCTTTCAAGTTAATACAGATATAGAATTTCATCTCATTCAACCTGACATGAAGGGCTTTTAATATTATAAATATGTACATATTCATGTATGATGTTATCCGTGATTTAGTATCTGAATAAAGATTTATTTGAACAATTAACAAAACAAAACAAAACAAAATGAAGCTTGAATAATTGACCATTGTCACTCGGAGTACAGGCCACTGCTCGTTATCGGTTATGGGGATATCATACCGCAATCAAAATACTCAGCCGACGGAATATGAATCAAATCTGTCAAATCATGTGGATGGTGATTAACTGGGAGTTACGAGGTTTAGTTTACATGCATCAAAACAATATGATGAGAACTGTGTACCGTCTACCTACTATGTACATCTATAGCAGTGTTGCAGTAAATTAAGTTGGTATAGGTTTTATCCTAGAGTCTCTGTTTGGGGAAAATAGGCATTGGATATAGCATGGAGATCTTCTTATCTCCATGGATATAGGTTGATGGGCTATGCAGAACCACTGTGATGACTCTCTCTGGTACTGACTTAATTTCCTGTTAAGGCAAACACGTTGATCAACTTTCCTTTTCACAATATGGCTGCAAATCAGTTTGTCAGCTAGCAACGTTATGTTTGGAAAACTTCTCATCCAATATTTCGGTATTTTTACTTTCTGTCAGCTTTTCCTTACTCAATTAATTATCTTAAAGAAAAGCTGATATGGTGCGCTTGAATAATTATAAGGATGCTCATGAGAAAGTAGTTTTTCAAATGTTTGCTGTTTAGCCTTTTAGGTTAATAAGCTAATTCAATGAGCATTTTTTAATAAACGATTACATGAAAATGAACTAAAACTGACATCTAAGAGTTTTAAAATAAAGGGAAGGTAAACTATATTTGAATAACCGGCAAGACCAATAAAACACATAATTTGGGGAGCTTACTGCTATCGAAACACTAACATTGAGATTTATTGTAAATTGCTATGTGCCACTTGTTGAAACGCACAGATTATTATCACAGTTCGCAGGTGTTAAAATTCGATTGGTTTGCTATCTGATGAAATGATGATGCTAATCACACGTAAATGATATAATCTGTCTAGACTAGTTATCGACTTTTTAAGGGCACAACCACTATTCAATGAAAAGATATTTCTACAAAATTCTCTCTCCTTTTTATCCTTTCTTGTCTTGCCCTTGAAGAAGGTTAAAATGGTTGTATACCTTGTTGTTCTGGTGCACTGCTGATGGTGAACGGATGCCACTCGTACTGAGCGATCTGAGGAATATTGATGAAGATGTAGTCTCCCGCTTTGTAATGGAATCGGTTGGGTCTCGTCAATGCAAGATGCGTTACCTAAACAAATGAAATGAATTTGTGGTAAATAGTAGAATAATATTCATAATATTGTATAGTTCATCATGGAATAGATATACCAAAGGTTTGAATAATTGTTGACTGTTTCCAGTGCAATGTGAATCTATACCGGTGTTCAAAAGGGTCGTCATGGAGCTAAAGAAGAACGGAAATGGGCAATTTCACAAAGCTATTGTGTTGCATAAAGCAACCTTTCGGTCGATTGGTGGCTATCGCTTTGTGCAAAATTACACGCGTGGCAAACGGGTGACCGTGGAGAGAGGTGAAGATAGCAACCGAAGGGTTAACATTTAAATATTTAAATATTAACATGCTCTATCAAAGAGAACTCACAACTCGGTGGTATATCTATTGGTATATGCATGAGGAGTGGGGGGGGGGTACTAGTATCATGATGGGAGCACCAGTGTAACTCAGAAGATGAATTGAAATTTTAAAAGTCAATCGATTGGGGGATGGGTTTTGGAGAATGTCGATCATTTTCTTTTCAAGTTCACATTCCTTCTCTCCACTCCCCCACTCGGGTGTGTTCAGGTGTGTGTGTGTGAGAGAGAAAAAAGGAGTATATTTAATAGACCACATCGTCAGAAAAATCCTGCGTTTATTTTTAAAATTAATTGTCTATCATTCCATGCCAATTTATTCACACGAAAACTATGTGTAAACCTTAAAAGCCCATCATATTACAAACACATAACTATTCCATTATAAAGGCAGTACATCGTATGTTGTACGTCATACTTCTTCTAAGTATACTTTTTCAAGGGCTATACTTACACACAGAAAATATATACTAAAAAGTGCATTACTATTAAAGAGCCGGCATTCAACACGCATGGTTAACCTAAACACTCTCTTATCATATATATATCCTTTCCTTTGAAATAAATCCCTTGCGAGTATCACCAAAAGGAGTAATCAAATTAATTCTGAATGGCGATTTTGAAGTAAACATATAGCTGCGTGCTGTATACTGTATGATTTAATACTTTTGTGCAATATTGTATCATCTCTTGCATTTTTGGATAGCTTTTCAAAACGCTTTTTTCCAATTCCATGCTAAAGGAATATCATTTCTATTTGTGGATATGAATTTATGCAGAATCCTTGTTTGAGGTTGCAATTCCACTTTTTTCATATCTCTATATAACTTGAAATATTATCCCATAAAAGTTTTTAAAAAATAGATCTAAAATTGCATGTTTGATAATATATTTTGTGTATACAATAGGAAAAAAGATGAACTGGATCATTGCCAATTATCCATGAAATCCCTAGTAACTATACCCATTTTTCATTTATCCATCATGAATCTTTTGGATTATAATGAAGCCGTCTTATTCATATATTCATATAGACCGTTTATACATTAGTACAATAGATACCACGGTAACCTATATTAATATGAGTTCATCTGTCATTGTCTTAAATGTTCAATAGTCTTTTGATTACAAAACAACAGGATGAAAAAGAACGCATATCATTTACAAGATGAATACATGCACAGATTTGCTTTTCTACATATTATTATAATATGTGGTTTTCTGAATCTTGATGCTGACTGGTGGAATGCGTTATACGAATGAATGCTCCAACATTCATGCATCGTTTTTCCCATCCTTAAATTGGATTAGTGCGCACGGTTTCATTCAGAAGCACTCATTGTCTTCTAAACATATCCCCGGTAGTGTAGCATGGGTACACACACTGAGGGGGTGGGGGGGGGGGAGGGGCACTTGAATCATGCGAGAGATGGGGGCACTTGTCTCACCCGATGGAATAAATGTAAATTAGCAAGACCTCTGACCAGAGTAAAGGTGTTGGACGGCCAGATATCATATCATCTCCTTTTCATGTTCCTTATTCCAATTATTCCTTGTTCTCTCCCCCTTTCTCTGTCTGTCTCTCTCTCTCTCACTTTTTACCCCTTCCCCTAATCTAGTTATTTCATCTTTACCCACTAACCCCTGTAGCTTCCTACATACTTACCCCCGATGGGAGAAGGTTAACTTCCTGTACATATGTCTTTCCGTAACGGGCTTGCTTGACGCATTTGGTCTGACTGAGTTTCTCCACGATGAAGATGATTCCTGGCACCACGAACCAGTACCAGAACCTGGGTCCGTGTATGAGCAGCAGGCCCCAGAACACCACGTACAACATATGCGTGAAGTAAAACACCTGAACAGACAACAACATTAGAAAGGAATGAAAGTACAAGTATAACGGTATAGGACTGAAAATAGAATATTGAAACATACAAACTTGTGATCCAGTTTGACAACATCAAATCATACATGAATTGCGTACGAATTGAGATGGGTTGAAATAATTAACGTGAAAGAAGAATGCCAATACATTATCACATTTAAACTGGACAGAGGGCGAGAGGGACTTAAGAGAGAACAAAAGAAGAGCAAGAGACCGGGAAGGACCAAGAATGACAGTGAGAAATGTTATGGAGGGATGGAGGGACATAAAGAGAGATAGAGAGACATAGACATAAAGAAATAATAGACGTACGTAGAGAGAAAGATACACATAATTATGTACAAACACAGAGATAAGTTCGAAGAAAGAGGGTAAGATATCAGGGAACCACACCCCCCCCCCCCAAAAAAAAAAAAAAATAAATAAATAAATAAATAAATAAAAAATTAAATTAAAAAAATTAAAAAAAAAAAATTTAAAAAAAAATACAAAAATAAATAAATAAATAAAAAAATAATAATAATAAGGCTAATAGTAATAATAATAATAATAATAATAATAATAATAACAATGATAATCTGAATATGTTTTCGATGGTGATTTTAAAAATAAAACCAATGAATCTTATATTCCATCTCCAGACAATATGTCAATGATCAAGCATCTTAGAAAACTTCTTTTCTCTTTGGCTAGTCCTCACATTGGAATAAAATGATTGGAGTGACTTACTTGGAAATGTCCTGATCGTCTGACGAAGGGCATCGAGCATATGACCATGATGGCGAGGATGATGTCCAACACCCAGCCAGTGAGGAAGGCACTACCGGAAACGGGGGCGAGCCCGAGGCTCGTTAAGTGAGGATTCGTAAAGAGTAGAGCCGACATCGTGACGTTGCCATCGGTTGTCTTTTCTACGAACCCTGGAAAATATCAACAAAGCTTTTAGAATTACATGCAGTCAAACCTGCTTTAGTGACCACCTTTATAGAAAGACCACCTGTCTATAAAGACCACATTTTTTGTTCCCTTTGAAAAAAAATGGTTTCTCATTGAAATTTGTATTAAAGGAACCTGTACATAAAGACCACCTGCCTATAAAGACCACTTTTCGTGTATCCCTTGGGTGGTCTTTATAGACAGGTTTCACTGTATAGTGATTTTTAAACTTTGGCTCAATAATCAATATACTTAAAAACGCATAATGATTTGTTATTGAAGTTTGATGTGGATCAATTTTCGCACTCTTTTTACACGATAATATGTATTTACACAATGCTCTTTTGTTATGAATTTTTTTTGGACATTGTGTTCACGTCGGTTTGATTTGTATCAATTTGTTACTTTGTTTTTGATCCATCATTTGTAGAAAATATTATAACAAAAGCAACAGCAGCAAAATGGCTTTAGGCATTTTCTTTACGCAACTTGAGTAATAATATATTGTTCAATGAGGTTGAAAATATAGAATATTTCCTTCAGAAATGGGCAACATATTAGCCAAATTGGGATAATACAAATATGGATGGATACATTTTCACCCTCATGGCACATTTTTACCTAGTATTTTTAAGAGTGAAGAAGATGTTTTATAAAGCTTTTCAATTACGAAATAAATACAACCCCAGTAGATATATGTCTATGAAAATGAAAAGTTCGATGCTCCGTCGAACTTACATCATTCTAGGTCACTGAGTTTTAACATTAAGCAATATCGCTCCTTAAGCTGAAAGGCCGATCTTTTAAGCTTAAAAATTGGGGTTTATTATTCTTAAATACTTGATTGGTATTCTGTGAAAAGTTATTACATATTGTATAGTATTACGTCATATCCGATACCCTTACTCCATTGGGCCACACCTCATATAACGACTCTGGCCATTCTTTGAGGTTTTAAATTTAATATCAAAGTCCTGGATTAAATGCTTCTTTTTTGACTGAGTATGTTAACCATGTCAGCATAACAGCGTGTTTTCTTAAATACATAGTTGACATTGTGCAATAGGCATGAAAAAAAGATGTACACGTTCATACTTCATTATATCCTCATTTAGATCATCTATTCTCATTACATGGCTATCAATTGGCCTATCCGTTTCCAAATTGGGAGATAACTATCATAAATGATAACAATTGGTAACGCATTTATGAATTAATCAAATCAATTATAGCTCCCTTGGGCGAAGTAACGAGCTTCCAACGGGACTAGGCACCATTAGCCGGTCATTATAGGATGGTGGTCAAAATGGAGGTTGTGGAAGGAACAGTGTTCTGGTGATTCTTGGAGGACATAACCCATTAAGAGACGCATGAAGGTGAACGCGAATACAAGATTTTTGATTTTTATCGAGCCAGACGCGACGCTGGTGATTATTTAAGTAGATTACTTGATGGCAACTTAAAGGCCATTTGTTGCTCAGCTGCCCATTTCATTTAAAACTAACTGATTATAAAACGAGATGAATGTCTAAATAAGATAAAGAGCTAAGAAAGATAAAAGAAATATAAATAAACAAGGTAAGGAAAGAATAGGATTGTGGCTGTGATAAATGGAAAGATATACACACTACGAGTGATATAATACAAAAGAGGAAATATTATATATGCATACAAACATACGTACTTCTGTATGTACATAATGTATATATATATTAGATAAAGTAAATAAAGTAGATATAAAGAGAGAGCGAGAGAGAGAAATAGAGAGAGAGAGAGAGAGAGAGAGAGAGAGAGAGATGTTAGAGAGATGTAAGAGATGGGTCGAGGGAAGAGACAGAAGGAGGAGACAAACAAGAATAATATAAACAGATATAGACCAAACTCTATTGGACAATCTTACTTTCAAACTTTTATAATTGATAACTTGTATTAAGAGTTGTTTGTAAAATCTAAAGGGTGACAAGAGCTACAACCACTCACTATGAACATGACTGACAATGAGAGCGGACAAAATATACAGTTCCTCAGGTAGACAAAGGAACATCCCTTCACAGCTATTATATAAAAAGGTGAATATGCATGTGACACCTGTTCTACACATTTTTACATAATAGCAGTGAAGGGATGTTCTTTTGTCTACCTGAGGAACTGTATATTTTGTCCGCTCTCATTGTCAGTCATGTTCATAGTGACTATATCTGATTGATATGATGCATTTTGAAAGCAGACAGTTTCATTTGATACACAAAACTTGTAAGTCGCGCGGCCATGCAATTTTCATTTCAAACGGAGGTAAATCCGTCCCTAATGCAGGTAATCATCTGTTCAGACCTCCATACAAAACGCAGATAATCTTGTCTATTATCGGCAGACGGCGCATCAATTATTGCAATTATTGATTCTCTCAATGTTTACGAATAACTGATATCCGACATTTATTGATTGCCTATTCTCCTCCAATCCCTTCAAAAAGTAGCACTATTTATCCAAACTATCCTAGCATCGTACAAAGCTTTGACATTATACCAGTTGCGTTCCCATGGCGACCGCGTGGGAGGGGGGAAAGATGTGATGTTAGTCGTCGACAAAGAGTCCGCTTGATGATGCCTTTGTAGAGCAGGTGTCATTCACACACTGATGTCCCTACATCATTTATCTAACCTGAATAAATAGTTCCAGATATCTCTCAGCCATTATCATAAATCACGGTTTCTCTATCTCTTTTCTTCCTATTTTGTATTGAACACCCACGGGGGTAAAACATCAATTCACCCTTTTTTGCTGCATTCTTTTTGTCTTTATACCGTGTGGCTTTATAGAGTCCCGACAATGACATTAATTGAATCTCTTCCGCGAACCAAAGCACCTGTCCTCGCGCCACTCGACCGGCGTTACACGGCGTTGCCGCACAGACCCCGCCACGGGTGGATCTTCACCTTTTATTCTAATGGGCCTAATCGAATCATTTCTATTAAACGTTTTAATCTCCATTTCTCTCTCTTCTCTCTTTCTCTCTCTCTCTCTCTCTCTCTCTCTCTCTCTCTCTCTCTCTATCTCTATCCCCCCTCCCTCTCTCCTTTTTCTCTTTTCGGTGTAATCTTTCGATTGCCGCCCTTGCTTCGTTCAGGCAAGATTCTTTTTTTCCTTCTAATTCGGTCGTCGAACCCAACTCGTGTTTGAGTCAAACGTTTTATTGATCTCGATCTCTTTGTGTACATATTTCGTGGATGTATTATTTTATCCATATGGTGTTTTTGTCAGCAAATTGATGACCTATTGTGACCCTTTTCTTAGAGCATCACTAATTTTCAATCATTAGAAATTTGTAACAGGCGTCTATGGGAAAATAAAGAAATAAAAGTGGTGCTTTCAATGTGATTTGGAACTGCATTCGAAGGGTTTAGTTTAGCAAAATCCCAGAATGCAGATTTCAGTCGTTATCATTATGTCTGATATAGACTAAAAACGTTTTCTCCATTTCTCTTACAAGAAGAGTATGTTTCAAGTGATAAGAAGGCTAAATCAAAGGGATATTTCTTCTTCATTTAGCGGTAATTACAGAGGGTTCTCTTTTTAAAATAATGTAGTAAAGAAATATTTCACCATATCGTCTTGCACTTGACTATTTCTTCCATATGACTCGTTAATTTTGCCCTCTGAGCTTCTTTAATTTATTCATTTTATTATCCTGATTCAATACATGAGGGAATATGAAACACTTTAAAAGATCTTTGTGATTACCAACAAAGCAGACATAGGTCACTCACTAGAAAGAAAAATCAATTTAAATGGACTCTTAAGACGCTGAATTTGTAGTTTCCGCCCTTTACTACGTTAAAACCTTGTAAGATTGTAATCGGCGTTTTTATCACAACCTGTCGTAAATTAACATCAGTGTTTTTTAAATATAAATTGGATCACAAGAAATTATGAAAGCGTACTGACTTTTTTCCAGGTTAAAGTGGATGTTATATTTAGGCCAACTGTCAACCGCCTTATCTCGTCAAGATCAACCAAATGTCAACACATAATAAATTTCTCATTTCCATTTATACAAATTTAGTCATTTCGTTATTTTATTGCAGAATTAGAGTAATTAGTTCATAATAAAAAATACTCCTTTATGACTACGAACCACACGAATACTACGGGTAAAAAAGGAAGACACATGGATGAGAAGAAGCGGCTGCTTCTAATTACATGTATATTGACAAGAAAATATGCCCTTCGGTAAAGAATTTTCCATTTTGAAGACTGAGGTTAAAAAAAAAAAAAAAGGCAGTTCTCCCAGACGTATCAATTTTTCCATTTCCTCATGTTCCCCAAGATGTTTCAGTCGCATATAATTATCCCGTGGTGGTGTTATTTCATAACTGCAATACTAACACGATTAATAGAATCTATCACCTGTCGCTGCTTATCAATAGTAGATCTACAATATCATACATTTATTTGATCGCTTCCTGTAACTCAAAGCTCCGGGCAGAATTTCGATTTTTATGCAAAGGGAAATGAGCAATGGAGCTGTTTTTTACAGAGTGTTTGCCAACGCCGGCGCGGCCTATGTTACGTCAGACTGAAGACGCTAAGAGCATGAGGGGATGGATTAGGAAAATGTCAGCCTTTGTAGCGACACATGCATTAATGTCATAACATCGGATGTTTTAATTATTGTCAGAATATGAATAATTGAAACAACATTGTCGCCTGATTGATCTAATTCTCATACTGCAAGCTTGCAATGCTTGTATAGTGGGTGTACTCGGTTTGAGTACGTTTCCTTTCTATAATTTAACAACAATGGCAATAAAAACAACTCAGTGGATAAACAAAGCAATTATAATGTGCAGTTTAGTGATTAAGTAGTTATACTCATTATTATGAAACGATTTTGTATAAAGATACCTATGAAATAAAGTCTTCCAGTGATTATTTAGGGAGAAACGTAAATATACCCAATTCCTAAGTAGTATAGCAGCTCTGTCTTATATGTTAAAGGTAAATTCCAGTGCTGATGTTGGAGACGTAGGTCTTTTTCGCTCATTTAATTAAAGATGCACACATTGCGTTGCTGTTCAAATACTAGAATTGTGTGAATCGAATGAACTATTCTGTCTCATTCCCTAGCTTAAAGGTGAAAACGAGAGAAATCCGAGTTTGAATTAGAAATGTTGTTTTTTCGTTCTTCTTGAATCAACATGGCATAAAGTACTCAAGGTATTGTCCTGATGTGACCTGATGTTGGGGGAAAGAGGTCAATATTGTCAACAAGATGCCAGCACGTGCTCGTCAGCATCCTATACTTTCCCATAGAATAATAGCCGATGCCTCATTTAGCTACTAACTACACTAAAACAACACAACACTAACCATAAAAACTAACTATCTTCTTCTAACTAGGCATGTTGACGAACTTATCGAACAAATAGTACTAGGACAAACAGGCTTTCAAATGCAACCTTTGTTTTAACATGTGCATGTTCGTACCTAAGTCCTGCTGAACCATAATTTGAGAATAGCCGCTATGGTTCATGATGTAATATACCTTGCAAAAACAGTTTCTTTTTAATTCATATCAAAGCAACAATTGTTAAAATAATTTTTAATCAAATTATGTCTCGGTCTTTTGTTTTTTGTTTAGACATTAAAGTATTAAATCTAGAAAGAAAGAAAAAAAAAAATCCGAATTTCATAGTTAGGATTTGATTCGCTCAATTAGATATGGAGAGAATCACTGAGGAATTCCTTGATATCAGGGGAATCATAAAACCTAATCACGGATTTAATTAGATATAACAACATTCTGGTTTTAAACAACGTTAACAGTCGATTTATAAGACACGATTCTCCGTTGAAGAGCTCAAGAAGTGACTCCAGAGAGATTCAACAATGTTTCTTGCAAAAGGTCATAAAGCCACTCTCCGGTCGACTGAAATCTTTTCTCTAAATTGATCACAAAATCGCATTTTATGCACGTTGATCAAACGATTTCAACAGAGTTCCGTCTGCTTCATTCTATCATATTCTATTCGCTTTTATTTAGATTGACTGAAATAAAGTAGAAGATTATCTTTTGATCCGTGTTTGATCGACTCACATCACCATGTTTGCAAAGTATCATGGTTTATGAGGGCATCATCATCATCATCTAGTCCATCACTCTATGTTTAAACCATCAGGTGCAAGAACAGCCGTATGTATCGACTGCAAACATATTCCAGCGTTGATTGCCAGTTGCTGAATAATTGTATGTCTACAGGCGTTGACAGAAATGGGTAAAAATATAGACTGGAAAACGATTTACCATAAATTAAGCGCCTTTAAAAAAGAACTTTGTTTCATGTTACTACTTCACAAATGTTACCTAAGATGTGAATATAGCATTTACAAAGTCGAGACTCTAAAAGCTTCGTATTGACTTCGTGATAATGTTGGTATGCTCAAGGGAAGGCAGTCCTAGTAAAGTCTTCTTTTTTGTAAGGCTTGTCGCGTTGCCGTGAGCAAGCGAAGACAAAGGAAGAAGAAAATGAAGAAAATTAGCAAATTGAGAAAAAGGGCTGCCTCCTACGCACTAATAACACGAACTTGTGATTGCTACTGCCACGGTATTGTGTTGAATGTAGATGACTTGTTTGCGGAGTGGCATATTAGATGTGTGTCTCCACCATGGCGATATTAAAAAATGACATGCTTTATTTCTCTATTTTGCCCCCAAACAAAGCACGGTTAGTTTTTATAGAGACGAAAGGAGTTCAGCAGGTAACTGATTATGCGGACACGGAGTGACATTTCAGGGCCATGCCACGCTAACCTGTAACGGACTAAGTAGAATTATCAAACTTAATCGTGAGAAAGACATACATTTTTACATTAACGATACCATTCATGCCATTATAACGTGAATGGTATTAGACCAAGGTGCTTTTACAGAAAGATACGCCAATATTTTTAGAATGCCACCCATTTGGGTTAATTTGGTTGGTTCTTGAAAGGAGTTAAGAGAAACACCATGAGATATAAGAAAGACAGAGAGAGAGAGAGAGAGAGAGAGGGGGGGATGATAGAGTAGGAGAGGAGCAAAAAGGAGAAAGGAGGTGGAGAAAGAGAAAGAGGAAAATTAGTAAGAGAGAGAAAGAGAGAGATGAGGGGACGAATGATAGATTTGAAATATATTATTGTAGCGTTTTTTAAAAAATGGCTGCTCCTTTCATACGAGTGCTGTGTCAGCAATTACATTAATGTATTTTCTGATTCATGGGATAACAAGCAGATTCCACGAGAAGATGCAACCAATACATTTTCTTCAAGAAAAACAAAATATAGGACAAATTCACACACCATTTTTAAAAACTTACTACTAGCTATGGCGAATTACTGTCAAGCCATGCTCACCGCCCCTCTAAATAATGTCCAGCGAATTACCATAATACGCCATCGCTCAAAAAATGGCGCAATTAGGTGAGTGAGCGGCGTGTCTTCTTGATCCTTCTTCTCTCAAATTTTCATCCTTAATGTGAAATTCCGAATTAGAAAATAAGTGCCTTGGGAGTTTGAATAACCATGTGACAATTATTCGACTACCCACTTTAATTGCTAAATTACATTCTAGTCCACTGTTTGTTCATGGTTTCTTGTTATGCAGTGAACCACGACACAGTTTGATTATAAGCGTTATACCATCGTTTATTCGTTTTCAAATTAAATCAATTGTGACGTGGACGTTGTGATTCATGACGGCGCATTGAGTGGAAGAATAAAAGGTGAGTTTTGCAACATTAGTCTGAAAGTGATTGAATAATGAATAGATCGTTGTCCTTATCACCTTAATCTTAATCATCATCATCATCATCACCATCATCATCATCATCTCCATCAGTATCACCTCCACCACTACCAACACCAACACCCCTATCGTCACCATTATTGAGTAGGTTGAGGATATAGATCAAACAAATTGACACAAGAGCAATCATGATTGACAGTGTCAAGTGTTCTATAAAGACCTGTGGGATGTAAAGATGATATATCCTGATCCTATTCAACATCACTCGTACTTCTACTCGGAATGAGAATTAGCGACAAAGAAAATTTTAGGTTTCATTCCCCATCCTCTTTTATCCTATATAGTTGCTTCATCTTTCATCTTCTGTGTTGTAGGTGCAGGGCATGGGGGCACAGTTACCCCCTCGATGGTAAGACATATAAATATAGAAATAGAAAGAGAGAAAGAAAGAAGGGTAAAAATAGTGAGAAGAATATCAGAAGATCCCTCCGAACTCTATCCGCTCTCTCGTCTTGTTCCCTCGTATTTCCTCTGTCTGTGTTTACCTCAAAGGCTTGACCCGTATTTTACCACCGCGGAATTCACGATTTTAGCCCTTCTTACTTTCTATCTTTCTATTTCTATCGACCTATACTATCTATCCCTTTGAGAATTTGCTCATGTACTGTAGATGCGCTAGTTTGGAAAGATAGGTGATGACAACATTGCCTGAAACAGGGAGGAATGAGATGAAGAGGATAAAGCTGGAGATACAGACATGGAAGATAAGATAAAGGAAGATAAGGAAAGGGAGCGTCATCTTTATGTCTGTGTAACGACAGTCGATTGGACATCAAATTCATGTAGGAGCCTGTGTTTTTTTTACCACCACGGCCACAAAGTACCATTACCAATTATTCTACTACCAAAGTTTCACTAGCAACACACCTGTCATCATAGTGCTATTGCCAACCAACCTGCCACTTTAATACCATTACCAACCAATTTACCATCATAAAACCATTACAAACCAATCTCCCACGAAATTACCATTACCAACCAGTCTCCTAACATGCATTACCAACCCACCTCATTCCAGGGTATCATGCATTACCAAAAACCTACAGCCGGAACACAATACCACCATGTTACCATTACCTATATTACCCTACCACCACAGTACCATTACCAAACCCATTACCACCGAGTGCCATGACTAAACAACCTATATACCACCTTAGTGCCATACCTATCATACCACGACCATTCAACCTGTCACCTGAGAACCATAACCACCCGACCAATCAACATAGCACCAATACCACCCGATGCAAGCTACACGTCAAGCACCATAACCGACCAACCAAACACCATAGCACCAATACCACCCGGTGTAAGCTATACGTCCAGCACCATGATCAATCAACCAAACACCATAGCACCAATACCACCCGGTGTAAGCTATACGTCCAGCACCATGATCAACCAACCAAACACCATAGCACCAATGCCACCCAGTGTAAGCAACACGTCAGCTACCACCATGACTATCATCAACGTTCTGTTACCTACTTACACGCATTGCCAATGTGTCCCAGAGTATGTATTCCAGACAGCAATGCGATGAAGATTCCCACCAGTTTGTGGAAAACGATGTTCTGGTCTGTAGGGAGGATCTCAGCGGCTTTCGTCGTCCGTAATGTGGTGATCGTCTTGCGCAACATGAGGACGAGTACGAAGGCAGAGTTAAAGTTCAGGCACTGACCACAACCACGAGCTGCAAAACAGATCGAAATCAAACAAGAGATAAAACAGTATTAGTGATTCTATAAACACTTGTGTTATTTGAATTTAGTAAGCCTTATTTTTAAAAAAATTATTAAAAAACACGATCAATTTGCATATGAATCGCAGAAATAAAACTTTAGTTATAACCATCTTAACTCATCTGTTTAAACCATGTTTGGTTTGTGCATCAGTCAATACAGATTTAAAAGTGACATTGCAAAAATAAAAGTTTCTCTACAAGAGAATTTGAAAAACTGACATTGTGTTTGCAGTATTTAAAGGAAAACAATGCACATACCAGGCCTACGCATCAGTACATTATGATCATAAATTGTTTAGCTCCCCAAATTTAACAAAATAATGATTATAACAGGTTTACAGTTTTTTTAACACGCGGCATATATTTACCATAACTCTCTTTGTTTTTTAAGCTTTCATGGTCGGCCCTGGCTAATGGGTTATTTAATGAATGACATACGTTTGTGATAACAATCTAAAGTTCCATTAAGAAATAACACTTCGGAGAAATTAAACTACCTTTATGCAACTAGCCTCTCAAAACAGGGACATCCCTGCAGCAAACTATGACCTATTTCCAAGTTTCATCTAAGTGTTTGGATTGTTTCTTTTATAATGTTGCCGTTCGGGGAAAACATTGAAAACGGGTGTGTTTATCTAGAGAGTTAATTTTGTATGACTATTTCAAAATGCATTTGTGCGTCCGGTTGTCTGGCGTCCATAATCAGGATAATACTTTGAATCTATTTAATTTTTGTTTATTCTTCAAATTTGATTTCCATCAAAGTTGAATTTAAACTTGAAGAGTATTGAACGTTATATATTTCATTTTAAGTTAATGTAGAAATCTATTCAATGTTTACAATACAAGCATATAACACATTTTAAAAAAAATGGTAAATGGCTTCCTCGAATCATCGGATCAGCGCGTCGGGTCGGGTGGTCGCGTTACCCGACCTTTTGTGAAAACATGCCCCTTTATTCACGAAATGTCGGGGGTAATGTTTGTAAAATAAACCCCTCTCAACTACAAATGGTCTGGTCCAATTTACCCGACACTTCGAGAAAACCCTACGACAAATCTACGAAAGGTCGCGTCATCTTCCGCTTTCGTTTCATGAAAAGTCGTGTAACGCGAACACCGACCGGACGTGATGACCCGATGGTTCGAAGTAAGCCAAATAGGTGAGTCTATAAGATTTTCATACGGGTTGCTTTGATCGGTTTTACAGAATCTGTAACTCAGCACGAACCAATCACAAAGACATTTCATCTCTATTCATTTCCGATAGAAAACAACGTGTACATGTCCTTAGCAATTATTGAAACGCCAGAATGGTGTGGGCAGTGACATGAATTTTCTCAAATGAAAGGGCGTTCAACCCGATCACAAAAGAAATCCTACCAAAATTTAGATGAAAATATCGCGACTCTCTACAGTGAAAATCATTTTAGCATTCGCTCAATTTTAAAATGTTTCGGCGGCATTACTCTATTTTGATATTTATTACAACGAAAAATTCCACCTATGTTTAATTTCCTTCTCTTTATTGTTTTTTTCTTCAAATATTATGTTTTATTGTTTATCTCGTTCTTTGATTATCTCTCTCTTTCCGTCTTTTGTGTCTCTTTGTCTTTCTGTCTTTTTTGGTCTCATTTCTAATGTCTGGCTACTTTGTCCGTATGTTCCCCATCTCTTAATCTCTTCCCCCTCTTTCTCTCCCCTCTCTCTCGCTCTCATTGTCTCACAAAAAAACACACTCTCAAATAAGCTTTAAAGCTTCTGGCTAAAATGGAACTCCTTGCTTTTCAGAAAATGAGGAAAATATAATTAGACGATTTATATGGGCATAATCCAATGTGTGTGCCTGCGAGCCTGGTATTGGAACATGTTTGTGAAATCCAGTGACCATTCTCAGTATAATTAAGATATCCGTGACAAAAACTTGGACGAAAAAGCCATGGATACACTGCCATCTCATGTATTTCCAAATGTTTGATTGTTTTAGCCTTATGCATTATGTGGTAAGAAAGACTATTAAAAGCTTATATCTGTTGGTTCAATGTCTGTCACCGTATCGGTACATCACGCGATGCCATTTTGCTTATATACAAATTTAACAAAGAGCAATGTTAAAGTTGTTTGTTTGAAATTCCATATTGAATGCAATTCCATTTTCATTCCATATTTCCTCCGATATACTACTATCAACGTAAACATCTAACGCGCTCCTTTGAGTCGTATGCTTTGCTTCATCTTATTTTAAAATAATTTTATGTCAATAATATTCCATCTTTAACTGAAGCACTTTCGTCTTAACCGTATTATATCTGCTTCAATAGACACCGAATAGAATATCTCGCTGGCGTGCATGCATTAAGAAGAAAAAAATAATCGTTGCTTAAGAACATGAACGATCACCTAAGATAGTTGGCAGAAGCAGCTTACAATTTATCTCGTATTTACACGTTTCCATGGTGAAAGTATTAGTCATTATTCTGATAAAATACTCTTTTTGTTCGGCGAGAAGCGGTAGATGGTTTACACCTTCTTGTTATTACAACTAAAACGCGAGTTTCTCATTACCGTTCGGAGTGGTCAAATTCTTTAGCATTAAAGCCCCTCTTTCTAGGCGTTCATTGATAACATACTATAACATTTTGTAAAGACCCCAGTTGACCAGAGCTATCGACTATAGAGGGTATTCAGATGATGCCTGGTTTTACAACGAAAAGCCGCTGAAATAACTTACATGAAGTACCTATTTTCTGATTGTTTACCAAGATTACAGGCAGTGTAAAGACCAAAATAATTATTTATGCAACTAAACATGGAGAGGTTTTGTGGACATGTGCGATGAATTTGCAAGCTTATTTGTTGGGAAGGTTCAATTTGAATATCATTAATTAAAATGTTTTGGTAACATCGTATAATCGACTTAAATTCTTTCCCCATCCAGGCAAAAACCGTCATCTTATACGATCTAGACCGAGACTTTAAAGCGGGATTGCACTACTTGTACATTGTAGCTACTCGTGCCCTCTATACAGCCGACAATACCTTAGCGGTACCCCTTGAACCCCCAATAGTCCCCTATTTCTTATGTTCATTGAGAGCTGATTTGATGAGATAACCACCTGCCAGTGACCACGCAGGGAGGTCTAATTCCTCCTGGTCAAACTAGTGCAGATAGGCTTTAAATCCACCTTGCCCCAGTTCAAAATGTCGCGAAGAGACATTTCCCTGATTTGCCACCCCGTACCCGGGAGAGACATGGCGTATCTCCGAAGGAGACGACCCTTAATTCTCCGTATGTAATTCATCTCGTCTATTACATAAGATGAGTAGTCCCCCGAGGATAGAGAAGGAACACACGATTGTGATCAATTACGAGTCTGGTGATTGTGTCAGGAGATTACTTCTGTCTTTAAATGTTATGTAGATTTATAATGATGATAGTATTATTATATGATATTATATGATTTTGTTTTTGGTTTTTATTGAGTCACCTTAGGGAGAATGCCAGCCTGAGTATTGAGCAGATGAAAGTCCAGCGAAGCGATACAAAATGATACTGTGGGAAAGGTACCGTATACTTTATTCCCCTCGCTTTATGTCAAACCTCGGCGTTTATCCAATTTCATATTTCCATATCTACTAAAGTTTACTCTGAAGTTCAATTTGGATCAATTTTTCTACTGTAGGGTGAAATCCAATAACAATATCAGACAAAGAGTCTGACAGAAAGGTTATATTCTTACCAACATTTCAGCAGTTTAGTAATATGACACGTCTTTTGTGGATATTCACAAGCAACCTGAATGAAAAGTACGCTCTGGACCTCTTTGAAGGTATTCAATCATTAATAAACCGTTAATATCAAATGGTCAATATTGACACAAGAGGCATTTTCTCGATTGTCTTTCGCTTTCATTCGCAATTTATCGATAGGAATATCATGCACCATTGGAGGCAAAGTTCACCATCAGAAAAGACATATCGTTATCATCTGAGTTTATTGAAATGACCGGGAAGTCATCGATATTCATTAGTGTTACCTCTCGAACAAGTCGTTATAGCATTCATTGTTGTGTTTAGCATGAAAGAAACCGAAGGATTCATTATGTATTTCAATTACCCATGCCTTATTTCACGTGAGTTACGATTTAGAACAAAATCAAGCTGAGTTAAATTATCATTTAATATTTAAACGATTTGATCATTGGTTATTGGCAGTTGAAGGCAGAATTCATTGACGAATAATTTTGCACAAACACAACATAAATAATCGTTACACATTGTGATAGCGATTTTTATAATAACAATCACTTGCTTACTAAATATATCAACCTTTTTCAAAAAAAGGAAAACACCTCCAAAATTAATAAAATAAAATCAGAAAATTATTGAAATAATAGCATGTAAGGCATGTAAAATAAATATAGATAAGTTTTTGCGACTTTGGAGACTCAGACTTGATTGTAGATGCATCAGTTAATTAAATGTAAATAACAAAGAAAAATTCCTATAAGGTCTTAAGGCCCAAACAGATCCTTAATTTTGTTCCTGTGAAAACAGAAACACGATTATGTAAATGTTTTCAGGATATTTTCCCGTTTTTTCTTCTTCTTAACCTTGAATAAGAATAAGAGCTCTTGAGCCCTTGTTTATCTCTTGTTTTATCAGAATATTGATACTTATCTGCACACAAGTGATTTTGAAGTATTTTCTTGCGCATGATTTTCTCGTAATAAAAATAAACCCAAACGTTCATTGCAAAAAATAAAGAACACTGGACGAAAAACTCGGGCGCCACTGCTTCGTGTGGTTATCAAGCTAATATTGATTTCCAATTTCTGACAGCTTATCAAAATTAATATTCAACATGAGATATGCATTCAGACTCAGGTAGCCTGGTAAAGTAAACTTTGGTGGATATCACATTTGGATAAAAGGTAGGATTTATTCTTTTGAATACTGATTTTAACCCTTTAGCTTAATTTATGAAACAGTTATGAATAATGCATTAGTCCTGTAGCATACCTAGATTATGAAATATATGTCTACTCAATAAAAAGCTTTTAAAAGCTGATTTTAAACCTTTAGCCTAATTCATGAAACAGTTATGAATAATGCATTGGTCCTGTAGACTCCCTAGATTATGATATCTATGTCTACTCAAAAACATTGATTGAGTTGTTTTGATTTTTTCGTAATGTTTTTTATTTCGTTTTTCGTCATGTTCGGGGAAGTACGGATTAGTGTTGTGAATACCTGGCCAATTTTAAACTTATAAAGAGAGAGAAAATTGATTTGAATGACTTGAGTTATTCATTGGATGTTTGGGGATATATGGAAAATATATTGTTTCTAAATAAGGAGAGGAAACGGATGGGATGGAAGAAGACAGAGGAACAGATAGAGTTTAATAGAAAAGATGGCATGAGAGAAATTTTAAACAGGCAGAGCTATTTAACGAAAAGCATAGAACTGAAGAAATGGGGAAGTAGACAGTGAAAGGAAAGAAAGGAGATAGAGAGAGAGAGAGAGAGAGAGAGAGAGATAGAGAGAGAGAGACGGGGAAAGGGAGTGGAAGAAGCGAGAACGTGAGAGAAAAAGAGAGAAAGAGAGGGAGGGAGTGAGGGAGAAGGAAAGAGAGAGAGAGGAGGAGTTGATAGATAGATATAGATAAAGAGAGACAGAGAAAGAGGGAGGGAGGTTGATATATAGATAGAGAGAGAAAGAAAGAACGAAAGATCGAGAGATCGAGAGAGAGAGGGAGTAGATCATGTGATTTTTTTTTCTCGGTGACATACCAACGCTGGTGGAATATCTACGCCTGGGTTGATTCTGTAAACATTGCATCTACAATTCGATTAAAGAAGTCAACACTGTCATGATATATGTGGATTTGATTAAAAGTGCTTATTTGCGATTCGACGGTTGCAATGTGACTCTAATTTCTTGAGCGATCGGCTAGATTCAATAAAGACCAGAGGAGACTACCAGAGATGATGGTAACGAAACTGATGCAGGAATCCGGTGATGAGGGGGAAAGCAACCGCGTTAAAAAAAGAAAATTCGAGAAAAAAAAATCAGAAAACTACTCCATTGACCTCGAAAAGAAATCACTTATTGACTCTCTAGCTTGAATTCCAGCAATTTCTAAAATGTGATTTAAAAATATATATTAAACAGATTGTTGTATCGCCACATACACAGAGGGAATTGCATAGACAGATCGGTATCTTGTGCATTCCATATCACCGTGGATGCGCCCATTTATCATATCATTTTCGCTCATTTTATTAAGCGTCTATCTATCAACGAAGTAATTGCTTAAATCAATTGGATGAAAATGCACGATAACGAAACACAGATACAGCCAGTGAGCAAATTGCGTTTACAGCGGCAGATAAATCCGGATATAGACTCAAGATCAACGGAGTAAGCAATTAAAACCAGACAAATCATATGAATAGTATTTTATTTCGTAAAGTTATTAACATTATTTTGCAATGCTTTGCTTGATTTTTTAGATATTGATTGACGGTTTTTTGGTTCTTTTATTTTTCCTGTTTTGGAATATTAAAATTTGTCTAAATAACAAGCTGTCTATTTTATTTCCCTAATGAAACAATATGTATTAATTATGTACATGTATTTTTTATTTAATTTTGAGAATTAATTTTCATTTGAAGGTTTCTTTAATTAAGGAAAGTTTACAGCTCATGCCTTAGCTTTTCGGAAAAAACAGTTTCAATAGTCGGAAACCCTTTTGGCGTAACGATCACTCCTGTGCCTACCCCCCCCCCCCCTCATCCATTCATCGCATCTGAGTATAATTTGCTTTTAATTTATTAGTTTTTGTTTCTTTATTGAAAATTAGGTACAAACTGTATGGTATACTGTGTGTATGTGCGTTTGTATTATAGTGTGCGGGTGGGTGGGTGGGTGGGTGGGTGGGTGGATGTAGTCATACACGCCCATTATTGTGTGCAGTGCTTGTGACTCTCACCAAGGTGGCGTTTATTTGTTTTTATTCGGATCATTCCAATACCCCCAGTACACATCAGTTTTTCTCAAGTACCACATGATCAGCCTATAATTACTCGATTGCCTCTAGGCGGTTTGGGTTTCGACAGTGAAAACCCCAATCGCATGCCCAGTGAACTCAACCTTATCTTTTAATTTGAAAAAACTAGAGAGAACTCTAACCTGTTATAATCCACAAATGACATTTTTTTCTTCTTTTCTTCTTCGAATAACAACCACACCCGCCCCTGCCACCGTCTTCTAGTAAAGTTGTAAAAATCGAAAGACCTGGGACCCGTTGCACAAAGCCTTTTCAATGACAAATTACAAAACATCTGTGAAAAATCTGCAGATAACCAATCAGAAGCAACGATTTCAGTAGCTTATAACAAAACTGTCATTTGTCACTGATGACAAGTTTTGTGAAACGCCCCCCAGGGCACCGTTGCATAAAACTTAACATTGATGGTAACTTTGCAATCAATGGCAACTACCATGGAAACTTTGATTGTGATTGGCTGATAAGTCCTGTTACCATGGTAGTTGCCATTGATAGCAAAGTTACCATCAATGTTAAGTTTTATGCACCGGGGCCCTTGTTATGAGCCACCCCCTCATCCACATTCACTCTCATTTCTGAGTAAATGTTTTTAAAAAAGTAGAGCGAAAACTCACCTGTTATGAGGCACCAATTTGATTTCTTTTTGGCGTAGCGGTACGCGGCCTCGGTGAAGAGAGCGACGTTGATTAAAATGAACACGACTAGGAAGAGGATTTTTCTGTAGTTGTTGTGAACGTATCTCCAGGTCAGGTACCTTGGTAGAACCCTTCTAGACGGCTTCAGGGACGGTGGTTTCAACCAACTAGCTGCACTGTAAAAACATACAAACAAATATATATATACACTTGTTAATACTATTAAACAAAAATTGAAAACGATGTGCAGGGACAATGCTGCCATTATGAACAATACGCTTTATCACTATAGGTTTTAGTGTTGTACAATGAGAAAACAATTTTATAATACTGACAGTATTTTGCAATCTTTAATGCTCGCAGTTATAACTGCATTTCAAAAACTAAAATTTCCTACTGAACCAGAGAGAGAGGGAAGGGGGGATTTAGGGGGATATAAAACCTGTAAGTGAGAGAGGCGACAAGAAAGGAAAGACCATTCGAATGGGGAGGGAGAAAGAATGATAGAAAGAAGGGAGAGAGATAGCGAGAGAGAGGGAGAGAGAGAGAGAGAGAGAGGGGGAAGGAAAAGAGACAAATTAAAAAGAAAAAATAGATGGATTGAGATGGGGCAGGAAGGAAAGAGTAAGAAGGAAAAAGAGGGAAAAAGGTGGAAAATAGAAAGGGGGTAGAGACACTCCGGATACATATTCAAGCTTAGTTATCTGTATTTAATATAAACAAATTCAAAAGGAAAAAATAAAAACGTTTAATACCAAAATTGAACTTGTTTGTACCGAGCAGGATGATTTGTTTTTGTTTTGCCTCTTGACACATAGTAATAATGTCCTTGGATAGACACTACCGATGGAGGAGGGTAAAAAGGAGGGGGAAAACAAGCCACTAAAGTGGATGACATAGAAAGGTTCATTATTCCGAAGGTTGATCATTTATGAACTCTGTGATATTATGGTAATGTACTTGAATGTAAGCCCCTCTATGAAAGGCAGCGTCCCACGTAGGGATTACATCGTGAAAGTGCACCGGTATCAAAACAATATGAGCCAACTATAACCGTCACGATAAAAAAAGCCCGTCGATAAAAAAAAAACATGAAATGCAAGTTTGATGACGTTCAGTGTATATAGACCTTAACACGATATTGCATCTTTTCATGCTCACTTTTGTTCATAAACGCCTCATCCCCGTGAAAGCCCCCTGTAAATCCTTTCTAAATTAAATATTTATAACAACCTATCGACGAGCGGGAGGATAGCCTTTTTGCATTTAAGCGAATCTTGTCCGTCGATTCTTCCAACACAAAATAACAAATTGCTGCCAATTTAGGTACCCAGTGTCTACTATGAGGGATAAATCATATCTGTGAATAGAGAAGAGAGGAGAAGAAAAATAACACGGCGGAGGGTGAGAGTAAGAGGGGGAGGGAAAGTTGGAGAGCGAGCGAGTGAGAATACTATATTGCTGTTAAGATTGATGTAAGGCTTGTCTCTTTGGATATCTCCCGTCAATCCCCGCGTCTAAATTGATCAAATGAATGATGGTGAGAGTTGATAGATATCAGAGACCGGTGGGCCAGCTGAGATGCAGTCAAACCATCCCCTTTCCTAGATGGGAGATGACATCCCAAGTGGCCCGCCTCAGGGAATACATTCTCCCTAGCGAAATGGAAAGGAATGTGAAGTTCCATTTCCGACTTTATTCCCAATCAATTATTTGGAAATATTTCCTCTTTTGTATCATACTTACAAACAAATGAGATTCGAAATTTTCCATTGAAACAAAAAATTAAAATGCGTGTATAATGAAAAGGGGTTACGTCTGCCGTAGTACCGATGAATATATTTTAGATATAGATCTATATCGAGAAGGCAATTTGATTACGATATACTAGTCTCTACTTTAGGTAAAGAAAACAAATCACATGACAATCAGCGTTGAAAGCTGAAATAATATTGCCTGAACAAATTGGGCAGCATGTCATGGATGTTCATTCATGGAAAATTAGGTCATCCCCACCAACTTCAGTGATTGTATATTCTCAAGAGCCTTTGTTGTTTCTGCCACATCTTTAAGGATGTCTTTTTTCCCCTAAACATTATATTAACGCTATATGACAACAATTGATAATGGGCTTTTAGATCAGAAAAAGTTTATTATTCGAGATGATGGACCTACCAGTGCCAGTAGGGTACAATACTACAAATATACGACAGGAGAGAATACATAAATAAAATTATACGCGTTAATTTTTCATCATGTACTCTTTTTTTCTTTATTTAAAATAGACCAGCCACAGTAACAAAAGAAAGCCTGTTGTATAACTACTGTGATGTGAATTATTGATTGCCATCCAAGATGAGACCGAAAAGTCACAAAATATAGATTTCAGCATTTTCTATAAATATGAAAGCTTTAAGTGAGATTGCACAATACAGATCCGAAAACCCAACCAGTACAACACCCCTTCTGTTGTGTCAAAATGTACTTTCATCATCTGAAATGGTCATAAGTGTCGATTTGGCGTGTATAGTGGGATTGCTATAAGTGTGGTAATGGACGGTAGATAATTGAAAAGCTCCTCCCACATGAGTGCTACTGCAATTCTCGCTTAATCAAAAGTCTGGTCTCCGTTAATCAAAAGTGTAACTATTAGAAATACTCGACTAACGACCTTTCATGTTCGAGAGTAAGATGCTTGAGAATTTGTGCCAGGCCAAAAAAAAAAAGACGGAAGGGAAACAAGAGCTCGACATGGAGTGACGGAAAACGCAACAGTGAAATACAATGTGTACACACATTTAAAGATTAGGAGAATTGTTATTGTCTGTGAGATTCCTAACTTTATATTTTCTTGAGTAGTCAATGGATTAGATATGTATAAGACAAACCGTAGTTCTGAGAAAAATTAAAAATAATTCTGCCTTTTCAACCTTGCACATTTTACCAATGTAATTCAATGACCGTGATGACATCTTATTTAGGGAGATATTTATTCTGTCCTTGCGAAATCGCCTTGGTTACTAACGATGACAAACAGACTAAAATTTAGATCTGGATATATAATTTTTTAAACTCCTACGAGACGAGAGAAACAAAAATAAACGAAACTTTAAAGAAACGATATGTCAGTGATACCCAATGGACATGGGTAAAGGGCAAGTGCACCTCTTTGTTTTTAATACCTTAATATATATACATCTTATCCGTCAAAATAGACACTAAGTAGGACACTCAACTCTCTACACTTTGGTAGTGCTATGTGTAATTGGGATTCTCCCGTCAAAAGGGGTAATGTAGTGAAAATGGTTGTATGGTCATTATGAAAATGTAGAGCAATTGGAATTCGGCAGTTTAGTAAATACTAATAAAAAATACTAATAAAAAAGAGTGCTTGATTAAACAACTACTATGAGGATCAAAATCGACCCCTCTTGAGAGTTACCTCTTATTCATCAAATGATTCATTTACCCAAAATTGTTCTAATATGATATGGTGTTAATACAATATCATTGGGCTCACTCACAATGTAAACAAAAAATTGATTTCAAAAGTCGTGGCTTCTTTTATATACATTTGTGCAAGCCAATTCCGTAGTGACATATTATTAGTAAACATAATGTAGAAGTGTATTGTAGAATGGACCATAGAGTTGCGTTATCGGGGAAATTATAAAAAAATGCTTAGCGTCATTCGATGTATGAGTGTATGTCGTAAATATTATCCATGATGGTTGTCGAGGATTAATTCTTTGGAAAAGAAGGACTGATTAACTCCTGTAAGCTGGTTTTAATAACCACAGTGCATCATATTTAAAAGCTATGGTGGGCGTATTAAACCTCATTCATGTCTGTGGTAGCTGAGTGCAAATACTCCAGTAGTATTCTCGACGAGGACAAGGCCTGGTAATGGCAAAGTCACTCGTGATATTAAGCTTATGGTCTCAAGAAATTCCTATATGTTGAGGACGGTAAGACTGTCATGTACATGTACAAACAGTCATGTAGATAGTGTTATACAGTCAAACCTATTTTAGTGACCACCTGTCTACTAAGAACACATTTTTTGTTTCCCTTGAAAATGGTTTCTCATTGAAACATGTACTAAAAAGGAACCTGTCTACAAAGGCCACTTTTTCTGTTTCCCTTGGACGTTCGCTATAGACAGCTTTGACTGTACAACTAATGAAATGTCGTGACGAATGAATGAATTACATAAGAAAAGATCCCGACAACTAATCTGCGCGTACGATGTAGGTGACATTTTTAAAAATGAAGAGGGAGATTTTGTTCGACAAGATATATTGTTTAAATATGTATTTACTTCCAAGCATATATTTGTTTATCCTTACTCGATTTTGTTCCGTATACCGTATTGAAATGAGTCTATAATAAGCTTCAAATCTATAGACCGTAGATTTTCATATAGCTCGAAGCTATAACAGTCATCAGAATTAAGGAGCTCTTTGAATACCAATGAAAACAAATAAACTTTTGGTTAGAATGATTTGTGGGTTTTCATTGATAGTGATAGTCTTTTCTATTTTCATGAATCCCCCCCCCCCCAATGACATGTACCGATGCGAAATATTAATGATATTTCATCTTCTCTATAATCTTCCCAAAAATCTATGTCCTGATTCATATATATATATATATATACATATATATATATATATATCAATAATTTCAAGTGATAGTTTAATACCTCGAGGTATATGGGATAACAAGACTTCAAATATTTGCCTCTAACATACAGACCGACATACGTCACTATGACGTCACATACCCATCCAGCAAGCCTTTCCATTTTTTCGTCATTAGAGATTAGCTCTTGAATAAATGAGTGGACAATAGTGGAATATCTTTAGCTAATGGCAAATTGGGCAATGTCTCTGCACGTGATCAAAAGAGAGGTGAAAAATCGACTAGAGCAATGAAAGACTGACGCCACGAGGTTATACCTTTCTCGTCTGAAATATTGAACAGCCATATTAGGATGTCCGAGTTATTTCAGAATATAGTCTACCTCTCTTTTTGTAAATAAAAATTACTTTCCGCTATGCTGACGGCTTCTGGATGGAGGTTTGATTGAGAATTTCAATTTGTCACACCACCGAGAAATCCATACCAAATGCGGATTTTGTTTTCGTGTATATGGGCAATATCACACGCGTTC